AATAATGAGAATTTCCCAAATTAATGTCAGATATCAAATCACAGACTCGGGAAGCTCAGAAATAGCCAAGCAGGATAAATGCCAAAGCAAAACAAAAGTACAACTAGGTTATAATTCAAACCACAGAAAATTAAACATAAGACAGTTCTGAGCTGTACCTGGTGGTACATTCCTGTAATCCCACCACTCTGGGAAGCAGAGGCAGGAGGATCAACAGTCTGAGTCCAATCTGAACCAGTTAGTGACTCAGAAAGACCCTGTTTCACAGTAAAAAATAAAAAGGCCGGGCTGGGGATTTAGCTCAGCGGCAAAGCGCCTGCCTGGCAAGCGCAAGGTCGTGAGTTCGGTTCCCGGTACCGGAGAAAAACCAAAACAAATAAAAAAATAAAAAAAAATAAAAAAATAAAAAGGCCTGGGGAAGCAGCTCAGTGCAAAAGCCCTGGGTTCACTTGCCCGTCAACAAAAGAAAGGAAGGGAGGAGGGAGACAGGTATAGAGGGATGGAAAAGAAAAGGGAAAGAAAAATTTTGTCTGGGCATGGTGGTGCATACCTGCAGTCTCAGTACTTTGGGAGGCTGAAGGAGGAGAATCTCTAAATTCAAGCTCAATCTGGGCTATTTAGCAATACCCTGTCTCCAAATAAAAAATTTAAAAAGGGCCCGGGATGTAACTCGATGCAAAGGCCTTGGGTTCAGTCCAAGTCTTGCAATCCCAGCATTGCATCACTTGGACCTTCTCTTTCTTCCATAGACCAAACATCCACCTAAGAATTGTTAGTTTAGATGAAATGAATCGCTGGGTGTAGTGGTGCACGCCTGTAATCCCAGCACTTGGGATCATTGCAAGTTCGAGACCAGCCTGGGCTATAAAGTGAACTCAAGGCCAGCCTGGGCTGCATAGAGAGACCCTGTCTCAAAAAGACCAAAAATAAAAAAAAAATACATCAAATGAATCTACCTCTCCCCCTTCTCACTGTACATATGTCAAAACTCATGATGATAGGATTATTTGCATCATGAAATAAAATACTGCTAGTGGAGGTGAACATACACACACATACACACTGATGTTTACATGTTCCCCAAAATGAAATACTTAAGATTAAATCTAACAAAATATATATAAGATCTGTATGAGGATCTGTATGAAGGAAACCAGAGAACTAAATAAAGGAGAGATTTTCCATATTTCCATGTTCATAAATAGCAAGATAAATACTGTCAAACTGTATATTTTTCTCACCTTGATCTTTAGATTCAATGCAATCTTAATTCAAATGTCAGCGGGTTACTTGTGGGTAGTGACATGCTGATTGTAAAGAGGCAAAAGGCCCAGAATAACCAACACCGTGCTGCAGGAAAACAAGGTAGACCGATGTCACCTGACTCCAGTAATCAAGACGATGTGGGATCGTTCCTCTGATCAGTGGAACAGAATGCAGAGCCTGTGAATAATCCCATACAACTATATGGACGGATCTTGACACGGTGCAAAGGCAAGACGATGCAGAAAATACAGTTTTTTCAACAAATGCTTTTAGGATAACGACATCCACAGCTGCCCAAAATTCTAAACACAGATCTTAAACTCTTCACAATAATTAACCCAAGACCATAAGAAAATAACTCAAGAAGATATGGAGATGGCAAATGAGCATATGAAAAGATGCTCCATATCAGTTGTCGTCAGGGAAGCACAAACTGACAGAACACAGACATAGTACACACCTGTTGGAAACCAAAATCACGGAGAACGCCAAAGCTGGCGAAGAGGACGTGGGGCAGCACAGTTCTCACTTTTCGCTAGTGGGACTGTGAAGTGGCACAGCCAGGGGCTGGGGCTTTAGCTCAGCGGCACAGTGCCTGCCTGACAAGCACAAGGTCATGAGTTCGATTCCCAGTACCGGAAAAAAAACAAAAAATAAAAAAATAAAGTTGTGAAATGGCACAGCCATACTGGAAAAAGTTTTGCAGTTTTTATAAAATTAAACATACTCTTAAAATCTGACCCAGCAATTTCACTCCTTAGTATTTACTCAAAGGAGTTGAAATCCTGTCTATATAAAAACCGGCAAATGGGGGCTGGGGATTTAGCTCAGCAGCACAGCGCCTGCCTTGCAAGCACAAGGTCATGAGTTCAATTCCCGGTACCGGAAAAAAAACAACAAAAAAACCCCAAACACCTGCAAATGTTTACAGCAACTTTATTAAGAATTGCCCAAACTTGGAAGCAACCAGGATGCCCTTCAACAGATGAACGGCCAAAGGAAGCTGCTACATCCACATAATGTAATGTTATTCAGCTCTAAAAAGAAAGAAGCTCTTAAGCCATAAAAAGTTATGGAGGAAACTTAAATGCATATTACTAAGTGAAGGAAGCCAATCTGAAAAGGCTACATACTGTATGAGTCTAACTATATGACATTCTAGAAAAGGCAAAACTGGAGACATAAGATGAATAGTTGCTAGGGGTTAGGAAGGAGGGAGGGATGAATATTCAGAGCACAGAGGATTTTAGGGCAGCAAAAATTCTCTGTATGACCCATAACAGTGGGTACGTATCATAGTGCATTTGTTCAAACCCGCAGAACACACAACACCAAGCTTGAAGCCTAATGCAGCTGTGGACTTTGGGTGACACTGACCTGTCAGTGGGGCTCCTCAACTGTAACAGACGCCGCTCCCTGGGGAGGGCTGTTGGTATTGGGGAAGGCTGGGCCTGTGTGCGCAGGGGGTAAATGGGAAATCCTCGTACCTTCCTCTCAATCTTGTTGTGAACATAAAACTGCTCTAAACAAAGGCTTAGGGGTGTGTGTGTGTGTGTGTGTGTGTGCGCGCGTGCACGCGTCCACAGGACCCAGCAACAACACAGCCAACCACACAGCGAGCAAGTTTAGCGATGCCCAGAGCCGCAGTCTCCCTGGCTGGGGGCTGGCTACTCAGGACGTTATGGAAAAGGCCAGCCTCCTGCAGGTTGTGTTAGATGGCAAAGACGGCAGCGCCAAGCACCGAAAGACAGTGCGGATGCCGCAGGCGCCGGGTGCCGTTCCAGGCGAGCGGGTTTTCCTCGAGCGTCTCTATGTGAATCGCAGAGAGTAGTTGGATAAACACCCGCTTTAAAGCTCCCCTTTTCGGTTCTCTTTTTTCTTGTGAGTGGGTGAGAGACAGAGGAGGGCGGGGAGAGGGAGCGGGAGGGACGGGGTGACGGGGGAAGAGAAGCCTACAAGCACATTTTAAAGCGAATGGAAAGCAATACCCTTGAATCATCATCAAAATCCAGAAACAGTGCATTGTTGCCCCTCCAGCAGCGCTCCGTGTGTTTCTGTAGTTCCCAGGTAGTATATGAAAATACCCTGGTTTCCTTGGTGTTTGTTAGGTCGCGTGGGCAATTAGCCAGGCGCAGTGGGTCAGGCCAGTGCACACACTTCATCAGAAAGTTTGTGTTTACTGTCACTGCTGTACCACGAACGCTGCCTCTGTGATCAAAAGTGTGTACTAACATGGGAGAGACAGCGGCTGGGAAAACCAGCCAGACCTCCGTGAGAAAGATAAGGATGCTTCCATCTCCACAAAGGCAGTGCTATTTCCCAAAGTCACACACAGGACAAACCGGAAGTGGGGGAAGCGGCCTCCCTGCAGGCAGCAGCCTTCCCAGGATCCTCTGGCACAACCCCTCCCCGTCTCTTCCCCTCCCCTCCCGCACCTCTCCCCGCTCCCCCCCAGCTCTCCCTGCGCAGATCCTCTTCTCCACCTTCAGACCTCTGGGCTACTATCCAGCCGGGGACAGAGAGCCCCGCAGGGAGCACGCAGCAAGTTACCCACGGGCAGAGACACAGTGTCTCCTGGAAGGCCATTCCTCCTGAACACCCTCCCTGGCTGCCCTCCGGCAGTCCTCCCTTCTGGAATACCTCCTCCCATCTTGTCATCTTTATTGTCTTTAGCTCACCCTACTGCCTTTATTTTCACTTTGTTTCAGCACGGACACCACTGTTTTCTGTTGGGATTGGTTCTGTGTGTGGTTTCACTTGGCTGGTCAGGGACCAGTCTCTCCTCCACTGTATCCCCTCCCCGCCAGTCCCACGCTAGGACCCAGATCAAGCCAGAAAGGTGGAACTGATTTGTTGAATCTAGTAAGTTCAAAGTGTAACCCTTTAGCTGGGTGTGGGGGTGCATGCCTATAATTCTAGCACTCTGGGAAGCTGAGGCAGGAGTATCACAAGTTGGAGCCCACTCAGCCTGGGCAATTTAGCAACTTAGCAAGACTCTCTTTCAATATTTTGACATCCTTTTTTTTTTTTTCCCCCGGTACCGGGAATTGAATTCACGATCTTGCGCTTGCTAGGCAGGCGCTTTGCCGCTGAGGTAAATCCCCAGCCCCTGTTTCAGTATTTTGAAAACGCAAATGATGTAGTTTGGTGTAAAAGCCCTGGGTTCCATCCCCAGAACTGGGGAAGAAAAGTGATCGATTAGCACTTTGCCCTGCCGTGTTTCAGGCATATTGTCTATGAAATTCACCGTGAACGATTAATACCTGCTGACTGTTTTGAAGCTCCACTTTTCTTCTTGTGATTTGAATTTTAAACATCAGATTTATTTGGAGAAAACAGAAAAGCCCATAACCCAAAGGATGAGATTTTACATCTCAAGACATCTCCCAGGTAGTAAATCTACAGATTACAAATCGTTTTCATGAAAGATATTTTTGTACAAATTCTACATGTATCCAGGTGTGGGACGTAAACCAGTCCTTGCCTCTATTTAGTGGGGGCAAGGAAGGGAGTGGGACAAAAGAGCTTTTTTGGACGCGACTATTGGAAAGGAAAGCAGACATGAAGGCATGACGCTCCACTTTTGAAAGTGTGTGTTTCTCACTATTAAAGTAGACAATAAATGATGTATGGGTAATGTTGTGAGGTGGTAATAGAGGATTGTGAGTCGCAGATAATACAGTGAGTTTATGACCTTTACTAATCTATTGCTTTGTCCCTGTCCTTCTGTGTAGTCACTTCGGCTTTCCCCAGGGCAGTATGAGGTTCTTCCTAAACCAGTTCCCAAGTACCCTTCCAAGTAAGTAAGTACTTATTAGTTAAGTTACTTTTACCCGGGCACAGTGGTACATGCCTATAATCCCAGCGACTTGGGAGGCTGAGGCAGGAGGATCCTAAGTTTGATGCTCCCCCTGGGCAACTTCATGATACTGTCTCAAAATAAAAAATTAAAGGGGCTGGGGATGTAGCTCAGTGATAAAGAACTTGCCTAGTAGCCATTCTGAGTACCCCAAAGAAGAAAAATTAGTTTTAACCATCTCACTTAGGCCTTCTTATTTACATATGTACTTATATACCAATACTTACGGCTTTTAAACCTCATTTAGGCACCTTCTATCCAGATTAACATTTTAAAATATGTAACAAATAAGAGGGAAGAAGTTAACAAAGATCTTCACCTTAAAAAATATATTTAGAAAAGTCATTTTTGTCTTTTATTTCTTTTTTAATATTTTAGAGACTACGTATTTCGTTCTGCAGTTCAAAGATTCCCAACCACCTTCTTCATTCCTGTAAGTGTAATGTAGATAGTTAATTCCTGATGAGTGTGATGGTTAAAACATATAGTGATTCTTTTTGTATACTAACCTTTTGTCCATGATACTGAGGAGCTGTGACTGGTTAATGTACTTGACTTTTTTTTTTCTTTTGGGTACTGGGAATCGAACTCAGGACCTTGCACTTGCCAGGCAGGTGCTTATGCCACTGAGCTGTATCCCTAGCCCCAATGTACTTGATTTAAGATATAAAGTATATCTGAAGATACACTAAGAATTTCCCATTTGTGTCACGTTGCAGAAGGATGTCTGGCTCCTTCGCTTTTTTTTATCAAGACATTTCCTGTACAGGTCCTGGGATATAGCTCAGTGGCACAAGTGCTTGCCTGGCAAGTGCAAGGTCCTGAGTTCGATTCCTGGTACAAGCAAACAAACAAAAATACACAAGAAATTTCCTGTACAACATGGTGACTAGGGGCCAGGAAGATAGCTCAGTGGCACAGCACCTGCCTGGCAAGCGGGAGGTCTCAGTTCAATCCCCAGTGCTGGAAAAAAGAAAAAAATACAGGCTACAGCATGGTGACTATTATTAATAACTGTACTGTTGAAAAATCATCAAGTTTTGTGAGGTAATACAAATGTTAATTAACTTGATTTGGCCATTCTACAATGTACACATGATATATATATTACACTTTCTATTTATCAACGTAAAAAAATATTTTTTTGAAAAGGTCTTTCCTCCTTGTGCAGTGTCAGTGTCTGGCTCTCAGGCTGAAAAACATGATCAAACGTGCTTTCTGAAAATGTTTTTCTTCTCACCAAAATGATACCAGCCCATGGTTAAACATCCGTTGGTGCCATAAATCATAGCTCAGCAGCCTCTTCCCCTCCCCACTCCCATAATCCATTTCCTCGAGGGCAGTCGCTTTTACAAGTTTAGCCAGTTCTCTGGTGTTTTCATCCATATTTCCAAACAACAACCTTTTGTCATGTCTATTTTATTTTTTTCAAATTTAGGCATTGTTATGGTTTGTGTCTAGATGACCCCCAAATCCTCACGTAGTCAGGAGGCGGGCTTCTAGGGTTTATGATGGATCCATGGTCCAGTGCCGGGGTTATGAGTGTGAGTGCCACACCCACCCTGGGGCGGGCAGCCTGCATACAACATAAGGGAGGGAAAGAGGCTGCTTGCCGCTCCTCCCTTTGTGCTCTGGTTGCTTTTGGTGTCTTCTTCTGCCATGAACTGTTGCCCTCTGCCATGTGCCACCCTACCTTGGAGCCAGCTGATTATAAACTGAATCCTCCACAAACTGTGAGCTAAATAAACCTTTCCCTCTTTAATTTGAACGCCAGGTATTTTGTCTCAGCAACGAGAGAAAAGTAACCAAGACAAGCTTTAGTTCTGTGTGGAATATGAGCCTGTAGCTCTCAGATCTCCACTATGTAAAACCCTCCCCCTCCCCCTCAATAGTTACGTCACAATTTTTATGTCAGTATATAATGCTTGGTATATTTTAATTTTGCTTTCATCCAGCCATATGGTATATTGCAATTAAGTTTCTTGAATTTTCCATTTTCTTGGAGTTAATAGCTGCTTCGCTTCTGGTTTGCTTAGTCTGTTGGGACCCACCTTCACAAAGGAACTGTAAATTCTCAGTGACACTCAAATACATCCTGCTTTTATTTGTTGTCTTTTGGAGGTAAAGCTCCTGGTGCATTCTGTCTTTCCCCTGCAAGCAAAGCTGGATACTTTCCAGCTTGATGTTTTGTGGTCCTGAGACATTGCTTCGCCATCCCCTTAGAAGTTTCTTGGTGTGGGCGCCATTTTGGTAGAATATGGGCGCCATTTTGGTAGAACATGGGCGTCGGTGAATTCCCTCCCTTCAGACTTGGCAGCGGCTCCTTCTTGGAGACAGAGGTTTCCGGGAGGTGAAATGAAAGTTCGGGGCATGGGTTGGCGCACAGAACTGACTCTCAAGGGACCTCCTCCAGGGGAGGTTTTGGGAACATGTGACAAGGCAGTTAGCTTCACGTCCCTGCTGCAGGATCTGCACGGCGTCGACAGCGTTTGCAGAGAAGCAGCCCAGCCTAGTGTCTGGCCCAGAGGAGGGCTCGGCCACAGGGGCTGCTGTTAATGTTGTTGTTATTTTAATATTTCTCTGGAAAGCTCAAGGTACAGACAGCCTTGCGCAAGGAGGAGGCCCAGAAGCCAGGCTTCTCTGCTTTCTCCTCAGGAAGGTCTTCGCTACTCACCTGTTCAGAATTCTCAGGCTCCCTGCTTGCGTTTATTTTTCCCCGTGGCATCCCTCGCTGTCTGACCCACTACACTGTACAGTTTGTCTCTCCTGTTTTTATCTGTCTCCCCTCATGGAATGTAAGCAGCATGAGATCCCTGTCCTTTTTGTCCCGTGTTCCCAGCACCTAGAGTGTGGCTGGCACATAGTATTAGTCAGTTAGCTACTTAATAAAATCAGCAGAGATATTCAATAGATCATTGTGTTAACTAAAAGAGAGTGTCTCTAGTTTCTTTTCTTCCAAAATGTCAAATATTCTTTCTGTTTTTAAAGTTTGCCAAATGCATGTACAGGAGTTATGACAAAAATGAACTCTTCTTGGTCAGTAGCTAACAAGTAGGGCATCAAAAATGAATAATGATATCAACAATCTGGAAGAATGAGAAAATATAAAATTATTTTGGGGCGGTTTGATGGACTGTAGTTGTTTATTTATAATTACAATCTTAGGGGTCTGAAAAGATGATACAGTAGGGGCTGGGGATTTAGCTCAGTGGCACAGCGCCTGCCTGGCAAGCACAAGGTCGTGAGTTCAATTCCCAGTACCGGAAAAAAAAAAAAAAAAAGATGATACAGTAAACATCTGACAGGGGAATAAAGATAACTGAACAGGGCCCAGAATAACATCTTAGCATATAGGTTTATGCTGGTCAGGACATAAGGCAAGCTAGTAGGGAAGGGGACAATTGAGTTTATGCTAAACAACTAATTAAATAAGTTGGAAAAAATGTTAGATCCTTACTTTGTAATGCACACTATAAGTTTCATATTGATTAAAGAATTAGGTACTTTTGACATATAAAACCAAGAGAAAATATATGAGTATATGTCTATTTTTAGGATAAGGTAGACTTTCTGAAATAACAGCAATGAATGGAACTTCAAAGGAAATTTGATTACAGGTGTAAATTTTTTTGTGTATCAAAAACAAACCTGTAAACAAAGTAAATAGACAGACGCAAATTAGGAAAAGTATTTTCAACAAACATAGCAGCTAGCTAGTGAAGAGATCTCAGTGGTAGAACTTAACCCCAACACTGCAAAAAAAAAAAAAAAAAAAGTCAGATAAAGCAACACTGGCCTTCTTGATAAAATTCTCTTAACAATATATAGGAAAAACAGCAACGTAAAAATAAAACAGATAAAGGCCATGAATGGACAATTCTCAAAATGAGAAATTCGGATACCCAGTAAAGTTGAAAACAACGCTTTGATCTTCAGAACAGTTCAGTGTGAGAAAGTAAAAGCCTGATTTGGAAGCTCTCTGGATGCGGGTGATGATCCAGGAGGCGGAGCAATGGCCCCCAAAGGTGTGTCCATGTCCTGGGGACCTAGGGGAGCTGGGGGACCCTGAGACCAGCAGAGGCTTTGCAGATATGATTCCATTAAGGACTTTGAGATGGGGAAATTATTCCAGATGAGCAGGGTAGGATCGCAGTGCAATCACAAGTGTCCTCACAAGAGAGGCTTGGCGGGGGGTCACATGCACACATACACCCACGAACGCACCCCCACGTGAGCGCACGGAGGAGGCCTTGTGCATGTAGAGGCGGGTTGCCCTGGTGCAGCCACCAGCAACTGGAAGAAGCAGGAAACAGACTCTTCTCAGAAGCCTCCAGAGCAAGCTTGTCCGGCCCCAACCTTGATTTCAGCCCAGTCACCGGATTTCCGCCGTCAGCCTTCAGGACCAGAAGAGGGTCGGGCCTGCGGTTCTAAGCACCGTGTTTGCGGTCATCTGCTGCCGCAGCCACACAGAAAGAATACAGGCGGGGATTCTCTGCAGGTGGGTTCCCGGGGGTGGGGGGTGAGGACCTGCATTTCCCTCCGCGGCCTGTGAACATCTTTTCTCTAGAACAGCCAGGTGCTGCAGAAAGACGGGGGTGGGTCAGCCTGCCGTCGGGGATACGCGCGGCCCGCATTCTGGGGGCCCGGTGGGGGCGGGTCTCACAGGGCAGAGGCGCTCCCCGGATTCCAGTGTGCGCAAAGGCCCCTGTCCTCACCACGCCCGGGTTCTCAGTTCAGATCTGTGCTGCCGTCCCCCCGAAGCCCCTGTCTTGAATGGGAAGGGGGTGAGGTGGGGCAGAACCTGGGGTGAAGACGTTCCCCGAGACCTTCTGCTGACAGCTCCTCTCCTGCAGGGGCCTGACGCCCGCAGCGTTCTTGGACTCTGTGGAGCCAATCAACCCGCTTCTCAGGGAAAGCCCTGCCTAGGCTCTCGGTGCGTGTTTTCTCCAGCCGGCTCAGGCAGGTAGCCACGGCCCTCCACACGCTTCCGAGCTTCCCTCTACATCCTCCTCTGCGGGCCGTCGAGTCTTCCGGCTGTTTGTGCCTCTGTGTGTGCGTGGCAGGGGTGGTGAGTGTCGGAAGGGGGTTACTCCAGAGGAAGAGAGAGAAATGCTTGTGTTCTGTTGGCTTTGGCAGCAGTGAAGATCCCATGTTCCCCCGCACTAGGTGACATTGTGTTTCTGAAATACTTTTGCTTACCATTAGAAAAGAACAACTCAATTAAAACTGTCCTTTCCGTTCAGGCCGGCATCCTACAGGACAAGCAACCTGGTATGTGAAATGGCAGAAGCCAGTTGATGCTGTTACTGATACTTTTTTTTTTTTTTTTTTTTTTTGGAGATAAGGTCTAGCTATGTAGTTCAGACTGGCCTTAAATTCACTATGTGGCCCTGCCTGGCCTTAAACTCACAGGACTCCTCCTGCCTCAGCCTCCTGAGTGCTGGGTTTACAGGCGTGCGCCACCACGCCCAGCTGATACTGATAATTTTGCCCATGTTCTTGTTGCTTTAGTGGAGCAGGTTTGGGGTTTTTTTGGTTTTTGTTTTGTTTTGTGTTTTGGTTCTTCCTCTGCCATTTTCTCTGGTATCACCTCATCTATTCCATTTTAAAATAAAAGTGATTTGGTGATTTGGAACAGCCTGTCCTTTAAAAAATAAAAAAAGTAAGAAGAATATTTTCATGGAAAATGACCCAAGGCAAAGAACTAGCCCAGGGCTGTGATTCACGTCTGCCCTAAACACATGGTGTCAGAACAGGTTTGTGGGTCTTGTTTGGACCCATAAGCTTGTACAACACAGGAAGCAAACACGTTGGGTCCGCCCTGTGGGGCGCTACGGCCTTTCAGCTGAGCGCGGCGTGGAAGCAGTGCTCACCGCTAGAGCTTGCAGTACGTGCACCCGTCCCTCCATGGGCCACTGGTATGTGCCGTGCAGCATCTATCTGAGAAGCTCATTTGGTTGATTTTACCACTCAGCCTAATTATTCCGGAGATTAACATTGCAGCGATGGGACCAGAGGATGCTCAGCGCTGGAAGAAACTTCATAAACCAGCCTTGAGAGTCGGCCTTGGTCATGACGCTGACTGCTGCTTCCCAGGCAGTTCCTGGTGCCAGGCACGGAGCTCATGAATGCCCAGTCCTGACCCCACACCATGGTGAGGTGGGTTTTACTCACCGTCTTCATTTGGTAGGTCAGGACGTGGACATTGCCTGAGGTCACACAGTTAGTAAGGGGAGCGTCAGCTCAGACCCCGTCCACAGTGAGCCTCAGAACCAGGCGCTCAGCTGTCCTGCCCAGGGAGCCCGCGGGATCAAATAACCGCAGGGAGCTGATCTGGGGCCAGAGCCAAATGGTTGAGGTTGCAACTACTTGTCCTGGAGAGCTACAAAGAGACGGGGGCCTTGGAAGGGAGGTAAGATGAGAGTTAGGGAAACCAGGGAATTAATTAAAACTGCACAGAGAGTGACCTGAGGCTCCACGTCCCTGTTCTCACAAGCAGAGCGGGCTGCGGAACGTTTACCCTTCCAGCACAGAACTGGTAGAGCTGATTATTGGTACATGACTATGGTCCCAGTTCCTTGGGAGGTCGCAGCAGGACGGTTGTGTGAGCCCAGAATTCAAGGCCAGCGTGGGTAACCTAGTGAGTATCTCAAAAAGTGAAAAGGACTGGGAGGTGTGGCTGAGCTCCGCAGTGCTTGCAGGGCACGTGCAAGTCCCTGGGTTAGGGCGGAAAGACTGGCAGTTTGTCCCCCGGAAAGTTCAGTGAGCCCACAGGGAAGAGGAGCACATTCCGACACTCAGGTGCCCCAGCAAGAACACTGGGTTACCGTTCGGTCATCTCAGCCGTATCCCAGCGCCTCCACTAGGCTGAATGATTTTCTTAGGTGCATACAAAAACCTCCCTCACGAACAAGAGATGGAGAAAAACAGACAGAAGACAGAGCCTGGTGAAAAGAGAATTCAGTGAATAGAAGGGGAAGATTAAAAAAAATACAATTAGTATCCACAGAGAGAAGAGAAAGGAAAAATTATTTTCATTAGTATTCTATGTTTAGCCAAACTATCAATCAACTGTGGAAACAAAATTTCAACATTTTCAAACATGCCAGAAAAATTACCTCCCAAGTATCTTTTTAAAAAGGTGCTACACATGATAAAATGTAGCAAACGCGACTAACTGCAGAAAGAGGGAAGGTGGAATTCAGGGGAAGGTGCATCCATCCGGGAGAGTAATGAAGAGATTCCCAGACTGACCAGTGCGCAGTAGGCTGAGAAAGAACCAATCCACGCTGAGAGTGGGGGTCCACTGGGAGTCTCTAAGGCAAACAGGACGCAAAGAACGAGGATGTCATAGGGAAAAAATTAAGACAATACTACAGAGTATGGTGGTATGTCCTTGTAATCCCAGCACTTAAGAGGCTGAAGCAGGAGGATTGTGCTGAGTTCAAGGCCAGCCTGGCCGGGCATGGTGGCGCATACCT